ATGACAGGTGCCCACGTTAACCGATGGTTGAGTAGGTAGTATGGCTCCTACAATGACAGGTGCCCACGTTAGCCGGTGGTTGAGTAGGTAGTATGGCTCCTACAAGTCCCGGGGGACAACAGTGTATAGAGACAAGACAAGTTCCGGGGGACAACAGTGTATACACAAACCAGACATGTCCCGGGGACAACAGTGGTAACACAGACCAGACAGGTCCCGGGGTCAACAGTGGATACACATACCAGACATGTCCCGGGGACAACAGTGTTAACACAGACCAGACAGGTCCCGGGGAAAACAGTGTATACACAGACCAGACATGTCCCGGGGACAACAGTGTTAACACAGACCAGACAGGTCCCGGGGAAAACAGTGTATACACAGCCCAGACATGTCCCGGAGACAACAGTGTATACACAGACCAGACAGGTCCCGGGGTCAACAGTGGATACACATACCAGACATGTCCCGGGGACAACAGTGTAAACACAGACCAGCCAGGTCCCGGGGAAAACAGTGTATACACAGACCAGACATGTCCCGGAGACAACAGTGTATACACAGACCAGACATGTCCCTGCGGACAACAATGTATACACAGACCAGACAGGTCCCGGGGGACAACAGTGTGAACATAGACCAGACAGGTCCCGGGGACAACAGTGGACACACATACCAGACATGTCCCGGGGACAACGCTGTAAACACAGACCAGACAGGTCCCGGGGAAAACAGTGTTTACACGGCCAGACAAGTCCCGGGGGACAACAGTATATACATAGACCAGACATGTCCCGGGGGACAACAGTGTATACACAGACCAGACAGGTCCCGGGGGACAACAGTGCGAACATAGACCAGACAGGTCCCGGGGACAACAGTGTATACACAGACCAGACAGGTCCCGGGGGACACCAGTGTGAACATAGACCAGACAGGTCCCGGGGACGACAGTGGACACACATACCAGACATGTCCCGGGGACAACGCTGTAAACACAGCCCAGACAGGTCCCGGGGAAAACAGTGTTTACACGGCCAGACAAGTCCCGGGGGACAACAGTGTATACACAGACCAGACAGGTCCCGGGGACAACAGTGTATACACGGCCAGACAAGTCCCGGGGGACAACAGTGTATACACAGACCAGACAAATACCGGGGGACAACAGTGTATACATAGACCAGACAGGTCCCGGGGGACAACATTGTGAACATAGACCAGACAGGTCCCGGGGACAACAGTGTATACACAGACCAGACATGTCCCGGAGGACAAAAGTGTATACACAGACCAGACAGATCCCGGAGACCAACAGTGTATACACAGACCACACATGTCCCGGGGACAACAGTGCATACACAGACCAGACATGTCCCGGGGCCAACAGTGTATACACAGCCAGACAAGGCCCGGGGGACAACAGTATATACATAGACCAGACATGGCCCGGGGGACAACAGTGTATACGCAGAACAGACAGTCCCCGGGGACAACTGTGTATACACAGACCAGACAGATCCCGGAGACCAACAGTGTATACACAGACCATACATGTCCCGGGGACAACAGTGCATACACAGACCAGACATGTCCCGGAGGACAAAAGTGTATACACAGACCAGACAGGGCCCGGAGGCCAACAGTGTATACACAGACCAGACATGTGCCGGGGAGAACCGTGTATACACAGACCAGACATGTCCCGGGGACAACAGTGTATACACAGCCAGACAAGTCCCGGGGGACAACAGTGTATACACAGACCAGACAAATACCGGGGGACAACAGTGTATACACAGAACAGACAGTCCCCGGGGACAACAGTGTATACACAGACCAGACAGGTCCCGGGAACAACAGTGTATACACAGACCAGACATGCCCCGGGGACAACAGTGTAAACACAGACGAGACAAGTCCCGGGGGACAACAGTGTATACACAGACCAGACAGGTCCCGGGGACAACAGTGTAAACACAGACGAGACAGGTCCCGGGGACAACAGTGTATACACAGACCAGACAGGTCCCGGGAACAACAGTGTATACACAGACCAGACATGCCCCGGGGACAACAGTGTAAACACAGACCAGACAAGTCCCGGGGGACAACAGTGTATACACAGACCAGACAGGTCCCCGGACACAGTTACTCACCTTTATACCAGACCAATCCCGTTAGGCAAGCGTATTACCAACAAGACACGTCCCACGAGACAGCTAAACAAGCACTGTACATAAACAAACACGTCAAAGGGAACATCTGAAAACAGCATATAAGACACGTCCTAAGGAGCACCTGTAAACATAAAGATAGCACGTGTTGAACGAACGAACAGAGAGTTCCTGGAAGTATCTGTAGATATGATATCTAAAGGGAAAGATTAAACCATGGAGACATCACGCCCTGGGGGAAATAAAACATACAGACAAGTCACATCCCGAGGGTGAGATTTAAACATACAGACAACTCTCATCCCGAGGGTGAGATTTAAACATACAGACAAGTCTCATCCCGAGGGTGAGATTTAAACATACAGACAACTCTCATCCCGAGAGTGAGATTTAAACATACAGACAAGTCTCATCCCGAGGGTGAGATTTAAACATACAAGCAAAACACATTTTGGATGAGCTAAAATACACACGTAAAGATCGTACCCCTGGGGTGAGTACGTACAGACCGATATGGGAAGGGGGTATAAGTAGGTAATTGGGGAGAGAAAGAATTATAAATCACGTGATGAAATTGTGACCAATCACAGACGTGTATATAAGCGGCCCCATTTTACATACATGTAAATAAGTGTTCGAAACGCTGTACATTGGCAACGGTGCAAAAATACATTCCCTATATGATCGAGCTTTGTTTATAGTGCCATTTGGTATTGCAATATTTATCCGAACAAATGAAGTATGACCCTCCGAACTCCTTGTCAAATTGTCAGAAGTGAAAAAAGAAATGATTAATCATACATGTATACAGTTAATGGTACGTATCTCCTATATAATGTATTATCAGGTCCATCAATATATATTGGTGTCATCCAGTAACGGATTCCTGGCGGGCTAACCTTCTGACAAAATTACATCACAAAACACGGCCTGTCAACACAATATAACATTGTGTGGGACACGTTACAATTAAACGCGGACGTACAGCAGACATTTAACAGTATCGGATAAGATCATGATGATTTTAATGTGAAACTGACACTCTGACATGTTCCAACATTTTATGTTAACGTACGTCCTTCGCCTCCCCGCCACCCCCGCCTCTGCGGCCCCCCCGGGGTAACCGCAGTCTCATTCCATGAATAATTTAAGTCTTTAGTGGGCGAAAGTGGAATATCATTTCCATATACACGTAGAAGTTTTATTTGTTTGACAAACAAAAATTACGTGCATACGAATTTCAAAATGTTACTAGCGTACTAAAAGCGCTATATAATGAAGAAAAAAAGTCAATGCTAATGTTACAGATTTGTCGATATATACATAATATGTACAAGCACGTTCATCTGATAACGCGTCGTAACAGAAATGACAGCAATTTTCAACGATGATATTTCTATATAGTAATCACCCACTCGTCTTGTGTCTGTTTTGGCACAATCATATTTTCCATAACCGGCACGTGTTAATATAACACAGTGGCTAGTTAACCGACAAACCGAGCATGACGGCTGTGCCTCCGTCACGAAACCGGGGTCACCGGGTCATCAGTCAACGGTTATCTCCCGAGAAAGACGGAACAGAGCGACGCTATCGGCAGTCTCAGAAACTAGGTCGAAGACCCGAATTAATGTGTGCCAAAATATCCGTGGTTCGCAAAAATAACAATTTAAATTGGAATATCCATTTCTTTGATGATAATTTTATCCTGTGATTCGAAAGGCATTTTCCGAGCATTTCGGTCCCTATCGGATTTTTTTCGATAGACAATATAGTGGCTGTTTTAATTTGGAATAATTAATTTGTTTATCATGATGCATATTATTTTTAGCTTAATTGAAGACAACCGGGACGATTTTATTAAAGCAATGTAAATCGAGGGTAAAATGTGTTCTGAAAGGTTCCTAAACGTAAGGAAAAAAACTGAGACTTATGAAAAATCCGGGACTTTAAAAGCTCCGTGGGGACGGTTTAAATATTACTTTTAGGCTTGAATCTTCCCCGGCTAATTGGCACGTTCCATACCTAGGTACACTACGTACTGATGAACAACCAGACACATCTATACCACATGTACTGGTAAAACCACTGATCGAAGGTGGCAAATGGCATTCTCCCAAAGCCCCGACCTGCATAAAACATGTTTGATAATCGTTTACCATTAGTTTATAAATGAAATTTATGACCCGGAAAAAAATACAAGCATGCATTCTGGAAATGCAGCAAAAATTGCTTCGTGTTACAAAAATACCAACTTCATGTTTAATTAATAGATTTCACATCAAAGGCGGTGTTTGAATATTTGGTAACATTAATTACGACATTGACCAAAGCTTTCCTTGTGTAATGTAATAGCTGTACGCTGGTTCTGAACATATGTACTAAACTTTTATACAGTGACAATTTCACTAGGGAATCACCACCGCCACTACACAACGCTATGATACGGTGTGTTACACACAACATATTTTTCCTGATAACGAACAAAAAAACATCAAACAAAATTTTGTGGAAACACGTGTTCCAGGTCGACGAGAGCGCTGTGACGTCAGACACTGACTGAATCTCAAGAGTCCCGGACTGGAAAGCCGTGCGGAAGGCGTGCACGGCAATTGCAGGGCTGACACGACAGCTGTTAGGAACATTTTCAGATTGTCATCTGGTTTGTCAACAACCAGAACGAAAATTCACTGGTTCATCGTGTTAAATAACATTGCTAACTATTGCAATGTTCACGTCCGCCCAGCATTGTAGATATATACTGATCTTACATGATATATACCGACGAGATAGCAGATCAAAGGTTTTGTCACATCGTTTTCTCCAGTTTTCCTGACCCTGAGCCACTGCTTTCACAGAACGCATTGTGAGCGTACGTATACAATATCAAAGAGGGTGATATATCAAACCGGGTACAGTCACTACCGAACACGTTAAAGTCAACCCAGTCAGTCGTATGTATTTACAATATGCAGTGTTATACAGGTGTGTCTATTCTTCTCAGTTTAAGATATTTACATCTTTTTGTCGGAACTCCATCCCAAGTTTCATGTTCTGCTCTCGGCGTAGAACCTCTTTGTCGTAATCCCATCTGGAGTACCTCTGGTCTTAGCATGACACCTATTTCTTTGTCGGCATTCAATCTGAACTACCTCTGTTCTCAGCGTAATACAAATTGTCGGAAATTCATCGAGTATCTTCGTGCCTGCGTATTAAGACATCTACTTTGTAAAAAAAATCCGGATCATAAGGTTCTATTCCCAGTGTAGCACATCTTTGTTGGAACTCCACCCGGAGTGTCCTGCCCTCACTTTTAGAGAATTTTTGTTGTTAGTACAATAAACCATGGGGTAATTATATTATCAAGGATTATCGATGAACGTGAAATGTTTATGTACGGACGTCTGTAGAGACAGGTCAACACGTGCACACTGGACAATAGATGTCGTGTACAT